TGCAAGCCGTGCTGAAGTTGGTACGAGCTGCAGGTGCTTGATGCTTTGGGATGTTTTTACATCTTGAGCCAAACCCAATTTGAGCCAGAACTAATCATTTAGGTCCCATCTTAAAGTCAACGGAGAGAAGCAAGCACTGCTGGAGTGCAGGTTGTCCAGCCTGTGCTGGACATCTAGTTGTGATGAGCCGAACTGCCTGTTTTCTGCTTGCTGACATAAAGGAAACCCAGAGAATTTGCTGCAGTAGGTATTTGTGATGTTGTAGATGTCTCTTAGAGGGGATGAGTCCCACCTCCGATGTCTTACTCTGGCCATTTGACTACCAGGTAAGGGATCTAGAATGAAATAAAAACTTGTTCAGAGTCATCACTATCACTTGACACTAATGCGATGCCAGATCCCTGTGGCTGGTCTGAAGTGTTCCTCGGTGAATTTTCCAAGCGCAGTAAGTTATGCCTTTTGAGCAAGGCTTTCTGTTTTCTTTTTTTCTTTTTTTTTTTCCTCTGGTTTCGTATCGCTTAAACAATTGGGATTATTGGAAAGCGCATCTGGTTTTGGAGGCTGTCCCTCCGAATGGCCACGCACATGAAAGCAGCTCGCTCCCCTTCTTCAGAATGAGCTTTGCTGCATCACACGTTCTGCTCCCAACACCCAATATTTGGAATTCAGTGTGGGATAGATAATCCGAGCTTTGCTTTAATAAACCTTGCAACTCCCAAAGTGTGAAACTACTGGCAATTTCTGATGGGGTGCAAACTCCAGGCTGTTACCTTATTAAAATCAAGATTTCGTGGGTGCAGGCGGGGTCTCGTGAAAGGGTGAGAACCTCCCTGATGGAACGGGAAGGGGACGAGCAGATTTTGCGATGGAACTCTGTCTCCACTTGACTGGGCAGATGAAATAAATTAACTAAAAATACTCATTCTTCTGAGGATTTCCTCTTCGACCTTGTCTTTACTAGGGGAATTTTGCAAACTGTTGTGACTGATGATGGTGCAAAGTCTAACACAGGTGGACCACTTAATCTTTGCAGAACTTAAACTGCTGTGTTTTCTCTTACACGTCGGACTCATCTACCATGTGACTCCTCATTAGCTCTTTGAAAATAACTGTGCCTTGTCGTTATGCATGTTTAACGTGCGGTTAATCGGTAAGGGCTTTTCTCCGTCGAGTTATTCCTGATACGGCATATCCAGAGCACGCACCCGTGGATTTAAGATCTTTTCCATGTCTACTGCTGTATTGTGCAAGGGACTCGGATCCTGTTGGTGTGTACAGTCGAGGGAGGGAAGTGTTAGAGCGTCTATTACAGATTCCCGGCGTCAAATCTGCCTTTCCGTCTCCATTGACTGTAGGGAGGTGGTTGCTGGCAACACAACGGAGTAGGCGGTGTGAATCTGTCAGTGCTCTCCTGACCTGAGACACCCGAGGCCAACTTCAGCGATGTAGTGGGTGGTCTGGATACTGCCAACCGCACTCACGTAGGGTGGAGCTGGCTGCTTGTTTTAGTCGCGTTGGAGCCTGCTGTAAACAAGGGTGAACGATTTGTAAACATGCTTTTCTAATCTAGGTGAAACTTTGTGCAGAGAGGAAAAAAGAAAATCCCATCTTTGAGTCCAAGACCATGACATCTTACTGTATTTAATAGGAGGGAAGTTAATCTCTTAAGAATATCTGATACCCTTTGTACTGTTTTTATAGTGGCAGGTGTTAGCTAATAGATTTGGACTGGATATATTCTTTAAGGAAGTACTTCTTTTTGAAAGCTATCTCTAAGCTGCGATTCTGCTGCTAAATAAGGAATGCTAATGAATGTCCTGTCAACCAAAGATCATATATATTCCCCAAGAGTCATTCCAGTCTCTAGCTCCTTACTGCAGCTTTGGTTCTCTTTAAGTTGTGGCAGTCTTTGATACCCTCCCTCAAACGTCATAAGCACGTAATGTTTCTGTATAACTGAGTTCGGTTCCTGAGTTCAGGGTTCTAAAGCTATCTGCTGTAGGTGGTGAGCAAAGTGGTGAGTATCTCTTCCTCAAAAAATTGTAGAAGAAACAGAATCCTGGGAAGGATGGATGGAAATCTCATCCATCAGTCCAGTGTCCTGAAATGCTGGTGCTGGGAGCACTTGCGAACGGTCCTGGAGCAAATTCCTCCATGGCCATGAAGGACATCTCCATGAAGCAGAGCCTGATCTGTCCTGGTGGAAGGTTGCAATGGCCACAGGCTGGAGAAACTTGTCCATCGCTGCCTGCTTAGGCTGCTGGGCGGATAGTGAAATATGTTAACAGTTCTCTAACGCTCCTGCCCCCTTGTCCTCTGGGCTTCTTTGGTGCAAACCCATGTATGAGCAGGTTTGGGTCTTGCACCCGAATTTGAGTGGTGGCAAAACCCCTATGTAGCTTTGAGCCAGTAATATACAGCAAAGCTGATGTAAAGGAAGATCATCTATTACAGGAGACCCACCCAGCATAGGCTGACTATATTTAGAGATCATGGACCGAAATCTAACATAAATTGAGCACGAATCTGGAGTCATTCCACGATCTCCAGTGAAGATGCTTTGGGTTCACGCTAGTGTAAATGAGATCAAAATCTGGCTGCTTCTCAAAGATGGCCGGAGACATCGTGAATGAAATCCCCAGCAAAAATAGAGGCTTGCTCTCAGAAACGAGCCCCCCAGCTGGCAAGACTTGTCAGAGTACTGCAGCTATTGAAAAATGCTGCAGACAGAAAATGAATTAGAGGATAAAAAAGTGAAAATGAGCTGGCAGAATCTTTAGGTGACTCATCAGGTGCATCTTGTAAAGTCTCTTTCTGAGAAGTAATGAAATCGCATGTTCTAACAATATTTGCACTGCAGCAGGAAAATGCATAAATATTGGGATCAATTAATGAAATTAGATAATTTGACCAAAAAAGCCATAGCGCTGGCTCAGAAACCATCCCTCTTCCTTTTTGCTAGTCTTGGTGCTTGCAGTCGGAGAGGAAAATCCCGTGGTTTTGTTTCACATCTAAGATGCACGAGACCCGGGCAGCCACAGGGTTACTGGGACGCTGTGGGTAGTCACCTGCAGCTCGAGGACTTCCACTTTCACCCCATGGAAGTTCTGGAGCTGGTGGGCAGGCAGGTGCAGAAAAGCCCTGGTAGCTGTCCGGGCATGCAGCCTCCCACCCTTTGGATTTTAGGATCGGTGAGGGTAGACACATCTTGTGTCTGCCAACCACAAAGGTTGTCTCTTCGTGTCCCTCAGCCTCTGTTTTTCAGCTGTAAAATGGGGAGTAATGATTTTTCCTTAAAAAGGGAAGTTTTCCTCAGGAAAGAGCCCTGTGGAGACGTGCATCAGCCTGTGACATTTAGATATCCCAGTAACTCATTGCACGCAGCGGAGTTCCTCACGGAGCTTCAATTCCGGAGTGAGAGCTGAATTTGGAGTGAAATACTGGGGTTGCTGGTATCAGTGGGTCAATTTATGCTATTTATAATAGAGCAATTGCGTTATTCCAACAGTATTTTAATAGATTTATATTTGGGGGAGGCACTAAACCTCGGGTGAAGAAGAATGGCAGAACGGGGCTTAATTTATACCATAATCATGAGAAAACCTTAAGCGTGAATGCCTGTATTGCAGAATATGCGCACAGCGCTTGGGTAGGTATTCTGGTGGGTAATCGTGAACTCTCCAAGCAAAAAGAGCTATCGCCGTCTTCGGATTTATCAACAGCAAGAGCAGAACTCATCAGGTTAGCCTACCCTTGGTTTGGCACTGCTACAAGTGTTGTTGGAATAATTTGTCTGGTTTCTGGCGTCCTCGATTCAAGAGGATGTTGACAAATTGGAAAGATGTAAAAGAGCCACGAGGGTGGTTAAAAGATTGGCAAACGCGCCTTGCCAACGAAACAGCCAGTCTCCTGGCTCGGATGAATTTTGTATCTTTCTTTTTTTTTTTTTCCTTTAAGCGAAGGTTAAGGGGTGGCTTTAGCAGCTCCGAGTACCTGCGTGAAGAACAGAAATAGACAGCGCTGGAGGCTGTCAGACAGAGGTGTATCAACAAGCCGGTGCCTGGAAGTTGAAGCCAGTCTTGAGCTGAACAGAACAGTTCTTAATAGTAAAAGCAATTGATCTGTTGTTGTATTTTACAGGAGCCCTGGTTTTTCATCCTTCTCTAGAATTATATACATCAAAATGGGGATTTTTTTTTTTTTTAAGATTATAATTTGAATTTAGGTGTAATTCATGGAGGAAAGCCCCCGGCTTTATTAAACGGGGGGCAGACTATGGGTTTATGCCAGAGCATCTCTTGATGTTGTGCACCTACTCATTAGCTCTACCTGCACCTCACATATGGTGTTTCTTCCTCGGCGCTCATAGATCTCCGCTGTCTGAACCAGCTTTGAGGGGTTTTGATGCTGCTGAATTACAGTCAGTAAATAACAGTAGGTGCTCCTGAGAGTTTTAAATGAGATTTTTTTCCTCTTTACGAGCATTTTTCGGTGCGTTTCCCTTGTGAAAAATGAAAACTAGTGGTGGCTTATTCTGAATCCAGGTTTTATTTGAAGAGATACTGCTTGTATTTCCCTGCAGGGCTTGCTCCACCTTTGTTCCCCAGCACGCCTCGATTTCCGCAGGAAGCTCGTCCAAGGAGAGGCTGTGCTAAATTTACCTTGAGATCTACGTGCGGCAGAGTTACCGAGATAATTCTCGATTTGTAAAGCTTATGTAGCAGAGCGTGAAGTCTGGCTGTTGTTATTCTTTCTTACCATTCAATATAAGAAAGAATATCTTCTCTGCCTTGCTGGTCTTACTGGCCACACAGATTTGGAGGAGCTCGGTGTGTGTAAAGGATCTTTAAATACACCCTGGAAGGATGCAGAAAATGAGTCTGTTTTAAAGCAGTCCCTCGCGTTCGTTTACTACAGCAGCTGAAAGATGAATATTTGGGGTTTGGTATAAAACTGCACTGCTCGTTTTTTAAATGCAATGTTCTCTCTTATTTTTCTAGCTGTGGGGAGCTCAAAAAATAAAGCAGGTAATACGCTTTTTTTATATCTCATTATTGTTTTCAACTATTGCTGCTTTTTGCCTTTTCGCTAAGCGATGCTGTCCCCTTCTCCATTATTGACTTTGCCAGTTGCTGTTTTGTCTTGCCACAGAAATGTAAATGCAGAGAACACTGTTGCCACCAAAGAGTCTGATTTTTTTTTTTTTTTTTTGTATTTATATATTTTGATGTCTTCATTTTCTCCTTCCTGTCTAGTCAAGAGATTTCTTGTCTTCAGTCTTTTGAAAATAGTTTGACAGTTCTTTGGTAAGGCTTGTAACTGTGTCGTACCTTCCTCCTCTGCAGTCCCAGATCGCTTGGGGATTGATTTTTCATCCCCAGCCGGTTAATGCCAGTGCAACCTCCTGGGCTCATTGTAAAATCCGGTAAAAATGGGCCAAGTGAGCTTCGTTGTGTGTTTATCGGTAAAACAGATTTAGGATTTCCCTGGAGGTTGGGCTGTCCACAGCCGCCAGCGTTGGCGGAGAAGCTGCAGATACACGTAAAGATTGAAATATCTGGAAAATCCAAATCCCGTGGCATGTGAGGGGATTTTATCTGGGTGACCCCTATGGTGACCACCAGAGTGGGCCATACCTGCCCGTTTTTATCCCAACTCAGCCGGATCCTGAAGCAGCATTTCAGGCTTCCTACGACGTGCCGTGCGGGCTCATGCAGGCGTACCTGCAGGCGGGGAAGATGTTCCTCGGACTGAACCCGTCAGCCGTGGCTGAGCCACACGGGTCCTTACCAGGGTCTCCTGCCACCCATTCGCTTCGCGAGCAGCATAAAGCGCTTTACAGCCTGGTTCCCTCCCGGGCAGGCGGTCCTGCCCTCCCCGTCCCTCTGCCACAGCGAGGGCTTTCCCTTTCTTTCACAGGGCAGAGTTTCAGTCAGGACGTGAAGCTGCACCTCGGTGGAGATGCTGAAAACAGGCAGGGACAGAAAACAGGTTTCCCTTTTCCCCTCCTAAATCTGCATTCCCCCTGCCCCCCCCCCCGGGCTTAAGGTACAGCGGTGGGTGGCCTTTGGGGCCATTATAGTCCCGAGAAAGAGCCACTTTCTATATTTCAGGTTAAATTATTTACTTCTAAATTATTAACTTACGCTGAATTATTTAAGGAGGGGGGAAAGCAGCGGTAGGAGGAGGTCTTGCGGAGGCTGCCGAGCAACGACCGCCCTTGGTCGGAGATGCAAAAGCCAGGAGGGTGCCGAGACGCATGAAGTCCCCCCCCCGTACTCCCTGGTTGAAGGTGCTGTTTGCAGAGGCTGAGTGCTGGCTTCGCTGCGCCTTGCCAACTGTTGCTGTGCCTTCACCGTGTCTGTTTGCTGACTGTTTTACAGGCCATCATCCACCCCGATACAAACGAGACCATCTTCATGCCTTTCCGAATGTCAGGTATGGTATGTCCTGATCAGACAATCCTGAATTTTACTGGGGATTTGTACAAAATGCTGCTTTTTTTTTTTTTTCTTCCCCCTCCTGTTTTTGAATTGCGTCTTGTCTTCATTTAGGCTGAGATCAGAAAGTAATTCAAATGCCTAAATCCTTTTGCAGTCAGGGAGAATTAGGATCCTAAATGCCTATGTGAGATCTAGTGCTTAATATTTGCCTTTCCTTCAGATATTTTAACGTGGACTGAAGCTAATGTCTTTTCTGGCATTTTTGAGGTATCTGTCACTATAATGGGCATTTTAATTTTGTAGTAAATAGCGAAGCTTGGGGCCCAGCGAGCAGCTTAGGGTTTTACTCTCCAGGAGAGAACGGGATGAGCCCTGGTTTGCCATGTGGTACCTAATAGCCATGGCGTCGGGAGCCCACGAAGGATCAGCTTGTCCGTGGCTTCACCGGGCTGCTTAATTATTAAATTGTCACCTCCTCCTTCCCATTTTGGGGTGTGCTTCTGCCGTGCACAGGTCCACAGCTACCTCTGCTGTGGGCTGAATAGCAGCTCTCTTGAGGATGCAAGTGCAGCCTTGGTCCTTTCCCAAAGGACCTATTTAAATAAATAGGACCTTTTCCATATTTTTGGGGGGGACTTCTTCACCTGAATACTGGGCACAGAGGAAAAATAACAGGGTTGGCGGGTTTTGTTCTCCAGTTCTTTGAAGAAGGATGATGTTGAGGGTGAAGTGGAGGGGAGAAAAGCCAGGACCCACGGCTTTGCTGCCTTGTTCTGCTTTTTTTTTCTTAAAATTTTTCTTCCTCTCAGGTCTCTGCCCTTTCCGACTGTAAATTGGATCCATGAGGCTTAATTCAGTAATATTGGTAAAATGCTCTGAGACCTTCTAGTGGAAGTCATAGAGATGAATTATAATTAGCACAAAAATTGGCAGACTTAGCAGGGGAAAAATGTGAAGCATTTGATTTTTGTGGCGCTCAATAAGATTTGGGGTAAAGGCTTATCTCTAATATAGAGAGCTTTAACTTACACCTATGATTAAAATAATCCCTCTCTCCTCCATGATGCAAATATACTTTCTTCAGCGTATACCCTGTTCCTTTTTCTACTGACCTGGAAATAAATGAGCTCTCCTGGTATAAAATCACTAGCGGAAGGGTTGATAAAGCAGATGGTGAAAGAGGGAGGTCCTACCTTTGGTGGCATGGTCCTGCTCCTTAACTGGCATGGGCTCTGCAGCTTGTTAGATGGCTTCATGAGCGTCTTCAGCATGCTATCCTGGTGGGACCAGGCTCAACAAGAGGGGAAGGGGCACAGAAAGCTGGAGAGTTTTCTCCTGGGTTAGCGAGGGTAGGTTGTAGGAGGGTCTGATGAGCAACAGAGCTGGCACGAGGGAAGGAACAGATTGCGTGACTGAGCCTGGGAAGGGGGGCAGGATGTCCCCCTTTCCGTGGCAGCAAGCCACTAGGTCAGCTCAGTTAGCACCACCGCGGCACCATCCAGCTCCTCCTGGTCCGGCCTGAGCAGCTCCTGGTCTGAGTTGTCATCCCTTCGCTGCTGCTGATTTGAGTTTTTGCTGGCTTGCCTAGCCCAGCTCAACGACACGATACCCTCTGAAGTGCTAATACCACGGTACTGGCACGGACTGGGTTTACTGGAGTAGGCTTTAGGGTCTAGATGTTACGAGTTTCAGGGAAACTCTTAGGCCGCAACCCAAGAAAAGCAAATAGAGGATGGGAAGGAGATGGGGCAAAAACCAGGAAGGAGGCTGCTGTAGTTGATGCTTGGTGCATCAGGTGTAGGTCCACAGATGTCCCCGTGGTGGTACGGAGCTGCTGGAAGTGAGGGCAGCCCGTCATGCCAGGTGTGGCTTCTACCCTCAACTGGTAGATGGCTTAGATGTGATTTTTTTCCCATCCCCAAACTGCGTATTAAAATGCATGCATCTCTCTTTCTTTTTAATAGGTTACATTCCCTTTGGAACACCCATCGTAAGTATTTTAACATCTCTCCCCGCTTTGTTTACGAGTACCAAGAAATGCATTTTTTAGCACTCGCAGACAATTCTCCAAATTCCACCTTACCTCCTCACGACGCGTTCACACAGGGTTCCCACCTTTCCCATCGCACGTTAGCAAGGGCTTCGTCATGTAAAACCTGTCCTGTGGACATCGTGCTTGAGGTTATCTATTTAACGTCGTTCGCCCAGTCCCCTGCAACGTCTTCAGCCGTTGTCTTTCCCTTCTGGAAAGGGAAGACCAAGATGAGCTCATTGTCTGCAAAATACAACTTCTGCAACTCTCAGATTTCATCTTTGGGCACTTTTTTTTTTTTTTTTCTTCATTCGCATGTTTTACAAGTCGCTTCCCGAACATGACGAGGCGAGGCCGGCGTCGTGCGCTCTCGTCTTGATTAATTAAAACGGCGAGTGCTTTCTGTGGGGTTATTGCTAAGGCCGTTTTTAGTTTGTACTTGTTATTGTGAAATTTGTAAGCATTTGGGTGCTCTCGATAGCGAAAGCCAGAAGGGAGATAATTCTGCCTGTCTTCCTAATGCTGAAACCTCAGCTCGTCTTCAGGGACAGGCACGATTAATTAACCCCATTTTATGAATGGGGAAACTGAGGCAAACGGTTTTGCCCAAAATCGCCCAAAGTTGATACCAGGAGGTAGTTGGTCCTCCTACCCGCCAGCTCTTGGCTCAGCTTATTAGATCACAGATATTAAAATGGTTGAAGGAGCAAAATCTGCTAAACTTAATCTTCCTAAACCCAGTGGACCGTGGCATAGTACTTGCTTAAAGGTAACGGTCCTTTCCCAAATGGCGATAGCGGGGTTGCTAGCACCTAAAAGCAGAAATCGTCGCGGCTGTTACTATTTGTTGTCGTGCGTAAGGGTTTGGTGGTAACTTTGTATGGGGCATTTTAAAAGAAAAGGTTAAACAAAAATGAGTTAACGATCAAATTGACAATGAAATCGGCCCAAATCCAGAGCTGTCAGAGGAGCCGAGAGCTGTCAGATGAGCCCAATTTCACTAGCTGTAAAGGATAAACTGGAACCTCTTGTCATTTAAAAAAAAAAAAAAAAAAAACCCAAACGTTTCAAATGTTAAAATTAAAATGTAACATTTATGCCAATCGATCTGTGAAATTTAGTGACAAAATTGGCAGCCTGCTCTAGCATAAAAACAGTTTGAGTCTTGCATTTCACATAGGGGGATGGGATTTCCTCAAGAGAGACTTAATGTGCCTGCGGTGGGCTCTGGCTGAGCGAGCGTGGCTGTCCTCGCCCGCAAAGCCGTGCCAGCGTGCCGTCGCACCCGGGCTAATTGTCCCGGTGTGCGGGGGTCAGTTAAACGCCCTGCGTAGATTCCGGCAGAGACGTGATCAGATTATGCATTAACAGGTTTACTGCCTATCAGTCAGTACGCGATGCTGCCTGTATACATGTTGGTCTTTTTTTTCCCCTATAGCTAATGCAAAATAATTCAGTATGGTTTAGCTCATTGTGAAAGGGATTAAGGTCTTGCTGAAAATAATCGTTTCTTTTCTGGCCGAAGCAGCTACTCCCCTGACACAACCAAATCCTGTGGCTCTTTATTCTTTCCCCGAGTTGCAATCGTTTGCTTTTCTTTTTAGCCTCCGTCCTTTCCGTGCTCAGGTTTACGGTTTGACCCCGGAATCGGTTGCAGTGGCAGAGTGGGAACAGGGTGGAGTATATGTAGGTGTAGGGAGAGTTTGTGTTTGCCCGCCTAGATTTCAGCCCAGGAGGGAGCAAATCCAGCCCCTCGCATTATCTCCCTTTGCTGCAGGGGGGAGACGTGCAAGGCGGCTGCTGGGCTGCCTTTTACCCTAGGTTTGTGTCTCATCCCAGGGATGAAAGGCTCCAAGGAGGAATATTTATCTGCATTTAGGAAATTCAGCCCAAGACTCGGGCGGTGAGGATGGAGCAGAAGCTGTGCTGCTGTTCCCAGCTGCCACCCACAGCTTTAAGCACCTTATTTTCCCCAGCCCTTTAAAAAGGGGGGGGTCCTGTTGAGGTTTCGAAGCGTGTAGAGAAGACCCGGGCGTTAATACGGGGTTGCAGATGACTCTCGCTGACACACAAGGCGGGACTCGGGGCTTGCAAGAGGAGAGCTCGTAATGCAAACGCGCCGTGAGGCTGCTCAGAGCCGACAGATGTCCGAGTGGTGGCTTTAGCCCTGGCTTTGGGGCCACGAAGGGCCGTTCACACCTGATAGGCAATTAAATTTTGTAGCTGGTACTTTTCTAGTGTTTAGAAGCTTTTTTTATTTTGTTTTCCTTCTTAGTTATTTTTTCCCCTGACAGTAATTAAAAGTGAAATTGTACATTTCTTGACAGACTCTTGCACATATGGAGAGTTTGCATTTAAACGTGCCTCTTTCAGTCATACAGATTTTGGGTGCTCTTTTTTATTTATTTATTTTCCTCATTTATTTTTCTCGGCGCTCAGCTTCAGCTGACAATGTAAGTAGCTGCCTGCAGTCTTCCCTTTCCTCCGGAGCCTCATTAGCCTGCTGGCTTCAGGGGCCTAAGTCAGTCCTGGGGTGAGGAGGTTCATCGCCTGTTGAATTCGTTTGGCTAAGACCGGCAACGGAGTAATTAATGACAAGATCCGCATATTGAATGGAAGCAGTAAATTAGTGTAACTTGCACGGATTGGCGCTCGGCCAGCGTACAAAGTAGCTGTAACTTCACGAAAGGCTGTAGGAGGAAAAGCTGGAGGAGGAGGAGGAGAAAGGAAAGAAGATGTAAATGAAATCAGGCCTCCCAACCCTATTACCCTTTTGTTTGTTGTTATTTCTCTCTTATGTCCTTAAGCGTAGAAGTTGCCTCCTCTTCAACTGATGCTGCTGCAGATGTGCAGAGACGGCCTTAGCTTATCCCTCCTTGCGGCAGGTTCTCTGTGCTCTAACAGGGAAGTTTTCTTTCTTCTCAGCTTCTGTAGGGATAAACTTAAAGAAAATGGTGCAGACGATGGCCTGAGTGTGGGAACGAACTCACGGCCTTCCTGCCCAGATACCTCGAAGACGTTGCAGTTCACACGAGTGTCCTGAAAATAAATGTAGTCGGAGTTAATAGGAGTTGTTCAGTCTTTATACTCTTAACAAAGATGCAAGTGTGATTTTGCAACGAGAAGCCCATCTTCTTCAGAAACTATCGGACATTTAAGGTGCAGGACGGGAGAAAAGGACAATGACGTTAGGAAGTATCTCTTCTCACCCAGGAACTCATCTTCCCGTCCATGTTTGTTGGGTTTATTGTTGAGAGTCCCCTCGCTTTGCATCCCTTTCCTCTTCTTCAACTTCTTACGCTTTAAGAGGAAAGATTGCCATAAAACAAGGTAGGAAGGAGTCTGGCAGTGCTGCGTTTCGTGTGAGAGATGGAGCCTTTAAAGAATCGCAGAGGGTGTGCCTACGGGGTATATTGAGACGTCCCAAGGATGCTCTCAGGACTGTAGAGGCAACATACGCGTGTGTGGCCTTGGGTGCTGCGATGGGTGATCTTGCAAAACCTGTGGCATCTCGCATTCACGCAGCAGCAGGCAGCACCTGGCCAGATGTGCTGGGACAGGCTGCCGTCAGCCTCTGGGAGACGGCGATCGTCTCATAACCCAAGCAGGAGTTTTCGCAGCTCGGAGCATGACACATCAACAATTCTCTTCTCTTAAAACAAAATTCAGGGTCCTAAACAGGAGCACATGTGCTTCCAGGTGACACTCTGGTCTTCAGATGTTCAAATCGGATTTCTTTCTTGTGCTTGAAACAGCAAATGTGCCAAAGGAAAATCAGACCCCCCCCCTTCGCTGCCAATAGTAACAATTTTGAACTCTTGCATTTGTGCAACGTTTGTGTTATCCTCCAGAAATACCTGGATGAAAGAATTGATTATTTTTTAATGAACTAATCTTTGGAGAGTATCTGCTGCCAGACTCTTTTCAAGGTGTGTTGCAAGCAATAGTTAAAGATGCAAAGCTTTCACGGGTAGCTACATTACCCAGCTTCTCCACTGGAAAATTGAGAGACGATAGGCTGAAGGGAGGTTCAATAGCTATAATGAAATAAAGCCTTAAATGAAGATACTTTATTCAAGTCATTATAAATAACCTTGCTGTTTGCGGGCCTAGAAGAGCACTGAGAGCAAACCAACAATGCGTTTGCTAATGAGAAAAATCTCTTCTCTTGCAGGTTGTTGGTCTTCTCTTGCCCAACCAGACGCTGGCATCCACTGTGTTTTGGCAGGTAACACTCGTCTGAACGGGTGGAGAACGCGGTGGAAAGGAAAGCAGCAGCTGACTTGTGAATAGAGGACAAACTGATGCACATGGCTTTTCTGCGCTGGCGGTGTTTTAGTTAATGGGGAGATGATGTGGCTGGATATAATTAGGGAAAGGTTTGGTAGGTCTGGAAGGGGCTATAAGCAAACTGTTGGGTCTGCTTTCCAGCGCCCGGCTATTTATGCCATCGCAAGGGAGATGCAAAATAGCCCGGGATCTCAAAATCAGCTTTTTGGACCCATTTTGTACAGGTGTAAATGATTGCACAGTGTGTACTTCCATGAAAATGTAGGCCCTTAAGCTCACTCATCTGCTGTTTTGAAGACACCCTGTCAAGTAGTTGGGATCTTCCTAGGTGAATTCCCGTTGGAAGTGCAACGTGTGTGCAGGGCTGGGCGCAGGGGGAGGCCCCGTGCCCAGGAATTTTGGGAATAGCTGTGCGTTGCAAAGGCAAGGACTTCTGCCTTCAATGTGCTACAGGGGGTTTGGGGAAAAAAAGTGTGTGTGTAGGGAGGTGTTGGTGTTATTTCCCATTAAAATCCTGGGAATTAAGAGTAAGCGGAGGAAGCGTGCACGTGAATGAGTTTTATCCATAGTAAACACCCCGCTTAAGTATAATTTCAGCACTAACTGAAATGCAAAAACAAGTTACTTTCAGACTTATTTTTAGTTGCAAATGTCTTTCTATTGTCTACAGTGTAAGTGATGATAGAGAATTATGCAGTTAAGAAATATCAAAGCAGAATGGGATCTGCCTAGTATGTTAGAAAGACTGCAGAACCGAGAATATATTGGTACGTGCCAGTAACTTGTGGTTTGGTGTATTTAGCTATACAGCTAAGTAAGTGAGGGAAGTGATCGTGCCCCCGTACTCGGCCCTGGTGAGGCCACACCTCGAACACTGCGTTCAGTTTTGGGCCCCTCACTACAAGAAGGACGTTGAGGTGCTGGAGCGTGTCCAGAGAAGGGCAACGAGGCTGGTGAAGGGTCTGGAGAACAAGTCTGATGAGGAGCGGCTGAGGGAACTGGGGTTGTTTGGCCTGGAGAAGAGGAGGCTGAGGGGAGACCTCATCGCGCTCTACAACTACCTGAAAGGAGGTTGTAGCGAGGTGGGGGTCAGTCTCTTCTCCCAAGTAACAAGCGATAGGACGAGAGGAAACGGCCTCAAGTTGCGCCAGGGGAGGTTTAGATTGGACATGAGGAAAAATTCCTTCCCCAAAAGGGTTGTCAAGCATTGGACCAGGCTGCCCAGGGAAGCGATGGAGTCCCCATCCCTGGAAGTATTTAAAAGACGGGTAGATGAGGCGCTTAGGGACATGGTTTAGTGGGCATGGTGGTGTTGGGTTGACGGTTGGACTCGATGATCTTAGACGTCTTTTCCAACCTTAATGATTCTATGATTCTATGATTCTATAAGTTGTGCCGTGTGGCTTTACCTGCTAGGAGTGGGATAGTGGCTGGAGACATCTACACTCATTCATATTTTTGAAGGCAACTTGCCTCACCTGTTTTCAGACATCTACGACGGAAAGAGTTGACTTTTGGAGAAGTTACTCCTGCGCGAGTGGGGAGCGAGCCAGCCTGGATAGCTGGCTTGGGCTGGATGCCTTGTGAATGGCTTACATGAGGAGCTCCTGTTCCCACCATCATGGTGTAGCTGGGAGAAACTTTTGGCTTTAAAAGGATGGAATAATCCTTGTAAAACTAGAAAGAATATTTCAAACGCAGAACCAAAATGAGCCCGCTCAAGGAGGAAATTGTAGCAGGCAAGCCCGGCAGTCGTAGCCTGTCTGAGCCACTGCCGCTTGACGAGTGGTTCTCAAACTCTTCCCTCCACCATGATGGGCACATGGGTCGCCCCTTTCTGAAACACGCAAGTAGGAGGAGTAGCAATCTAGAGAGGCATCACCCAAAAAGCCCAGGAGGGTGTCAGGCGGCCACCTGGGAAGACAGTGGAGTCAAGAAACGGGTAGTGGGGATGTCTTCAACCTAGAGACAGCTTAAACTTTAGATTAAGGACAATATCTGAGCAGTATGTCTCATCTCTCTGAAAAGGAGATTTATCCAGGTAAATAGTATAGGATTTAGGGACGATGCATATTACTGCATTAACAAACACTGGGTCCTATAGGAGCAGGCTTGTACAGTGAAGCAATTGTTGCTGATGTCCAAAATGTACATGTCTCAGGTTAGCTCTAGCCTGGTCCTGTGGACCCGCTAATGTAGATATGAGCTGCGGGGGTTAAAAAAAACCCCACATCTGGAAGATTGGGGCAGATTTCCAGCACATACTGGTAAGCTGACTTTGTAATTTTTTTTTTTTAATTATTATTTAAAGAAAACAAAAAAGCGAGGTTTGCTAGGTCCAAAGTTCCAGGCTAGAGAGCTGGTCCGCCGGAAAAATATGCTCCT